GAAAAAAAAGAAAAAAAAAAAAAAAAAAAAAAAAGGAAAAAGGAGGGAACCCAAGTTTTTTCTTGAATCTAGCCGTGGCCTTCAAACTTTTGGCATATAAATTCGAACTCATAATAGTGTATCGAACTAAAATCAAATGTTTATGGAAATCAAATAAAATCTGATTGTACTTATGCTAAGTAATTATAAAAGCATATTCCAAATAATACTATACATTAATTACGTATAATAGATTGGTTCATATATATTAGGAACCAATTCCATAACAATCCACATTTTTGTCATTAATTTTGCTTATTTTAGCCAATTATCATTAATTGAAAGATATCTTACTTGCTTCTAAAAATTTCTATAAAATTTATCACAACTAACCCATCTATTTTATAAATTAGTTCGGGGTTGTCCGTAGATTTTGTTTAAATAATTTTAAAGTAACCTAAATTTAAAATACTACTAAAATAAATAAATTAAAAAAATTAGAGAAACAACTTTATATATCATTATATTTATAAATATTATAATTTCATTTACTAAAAGTTTTTTAAATTACCACATATTGAATAAATTATATTTTTATCAATAAATACTAACATGCGGGCTGATCCGCCAACCTGCGGACGAAAACCGATTAAAACCTATGACCCACTGCGAATCAATCTATGTGGCCCGCTTATTTGCGGGTTTAATAAATTTTCCCAAATCTTCCCTATAATGAGATGATTTGGGCTCGACCCGTGGTTTTTGACCTATTTTGACTGCTCTAATTCTCATGAATCGTCTAATTTTAGAATTCTAAAACACAAAATTTCATTTTGTAAATCATAATTAATATGATGGGTTTAATTATAAACAATTTAATATTTTCTCTACAATTTATTATTATGAATATTTATAAGTACATTACACGATTGGACTAAAAACACGCACAATATTAAAATCAACGTATGTAAACCAATATTCCCCCGCGGTGGACCGCGGGTCCGATCCTAGTCACAAAAACAAAACAGAAAATATGAAAGTTCTTATTACAAAAGAAAAGAAACAAAAACTTTGTTAGTACTATTTCTATTGTTTCACCAGAAAAACAAAGTATTGTTTTCAAAATCTTATAATCTTGACCTTTATTTCTACATGTTCTTAAAGGGTTTCAAGTTTGAAAGACTCCTAAAAGATGCCATGAGAAATAAATGATAGATAACTTGAAAAACTTTGAAATTTGTTAAACAGAAATGTGTGTAGATGAATGAAATGACTGCTCTTGACATTTCTTATATAGAGATCATATAAGTTTAGGCCTTCTAAATTATTGTTATTTTCTTGGTGGTTGATGTAGTACTTTACTCAATTAAATATCGAACCACAATTTGCAATTGATCAACTCACTAGGAATACACGCAAAAGCTTAATCTAGGCTAATAAGATGGTAGGGTTTTGTAAACTTGACTAACAAAGTAAATAACAATCAAACAAAGCAAAACAAGACAAATGGAAGCAAAATGCAAAAGACTAACAAGCTTCGAAAGTAAACAAACCGGAAAAATAAACAAGTTACTAAGCGATACTAAAGGCGAATTCTCGGGTTAAAGGAAATTGATTTGGAATGATAAAGAGATGGATTATGGAGCTTCAAACAACTTTTAATAAGCAATGATCCTTAGGCCATAGAACATTAAGCAACACTAACACATTTCCATGACATTAGTCCATTTACTAATCAATTAATCATCAACTTCTTCCAAAGGCAATCAATTGACTAACAAGCATTATAAAGAAGTCTATCTAGCCACTTAACACCCTAGTCAACAATTTCCAAAGGTAAGGAATGTAAAACACTTAAAGGCTTTGGTTCGGGAATTTCATCGAACACCTTCCGGGCATGAAATTCCTAAAGTCTAAATCAACATGATCAAGGCTAATCTAGCTTTATAATCAACCAATAAGCAAGGATCTTAAGTAATCTAGCCCTAAACTCCATAACCCAACAACTAAACCATCCTAATCTACCTTAACCCAAGAACTCTAAATGACTACTCACTCATGATCATGATTACACAAAGCAATAGGTTTGATCTTTGTGAAATCATAATTAGAGAAGGTAGATAAGAGATTAAAAGAGAAATTTTGATTCAAAAATCAAAACTCAACAAAACCAAAGATTCATACAAAAACTTAGAAATAAACCTTAAGAGAAGTTTTTGAACTCTAAACAAAGCATACCCCAATCTAAGACTAGGTTAAGAGTATATATACAAAAGGGGAAAACGAACCGGGTCAACCCGGAACAAACCGGGTTTTGACCCGGTTCAGGCACCCAATCGACCACTCAACCGACCACTTGGTCTACTGGGTAGAGCAATCGATCGATCAAGTGATCGATTGAAGTGTTGTCCGAAGCTCTGATCTATGTAAATCGACCAAGGAATAGACCAGTTGGTCGATTGGTTTGTCCTGAGGCAATCGGTCGATTGCTTGATCGATCGGTGTCTTGTCTGTAGCTCTGATCCACGTCAATAGACCAGGGAATCGACCAGATGGTCTATTGCTTCCTCTTCTCTTCTTCAATTATCTTTCTTCACCACATCTTGACATCTTCTTTCACCTCTTGATCCTCTTTGATCTTCATTACTCAAGTTGCCTTCTTTTAGCTCCCTTTTTGCTCTATTTATTCCCAAAACTCCAAGCTCCACTCACGTACCTAAGAAAACCAAATGCAAATGCAAATACAACACTATATGCCGAAATATGAATGCAAAACAATGAAAACTAAGAGAAAAGAGGCTTTAAAACAACCAAAATCACTAGACATCAGTGGTGAAGTTAAATTTTGATATACACAAATCTTATCGAGAAAACTAATAAATCCGAAATATTGTGATTGAATAACTGATTATCTTGTTTTTGGAAAGATTGTGATCTTTAAAATATATTGTTGTAATATGCCAATGATTTAGACTATATATATTGTTTTAACAAATCTGTAGAGGATATGCTTTTAATTATTTAACCAATTTTGATTTGCACATAATATTTATTGTTAGCATTAAATCTTATTCGATTAATCAATCAAGATAATAGTAATAAATACAAACCACATATCTTTAAAATCGTAAAAAAAAATTGAATGTGTTTAAGGAAAGTTAATATTTAAGCGAGATATGGGGATAATATCCTCTATTAATCTCGTAGTAATATTACACATATTTAAAACGTTTTAAATAATATGATAAGTTATTTCTTCTTAAACATGCATTTTTAAATATGGAATGTGGAATAATTTATTTAGAAAATCAACTTAGATTTGATTTCGATTTTATTGTTTTAATAGTTTCCATTTGCTAGATTTTCTCGAGATTATGTTTAATAGCATTTAAAATTAAATATTTTGATTTCAAGATTTGATTACGATTAGGTTTTGGTTAGTTGTTTATATTTAGTAGATTCGTCCGAGATTATGGTTAATAATAGTTTTAATTTTGAATATTTGACTTCCATATGTTAAGATCTCAAATCTTGTAACCATAAAAATAGGAAATGTTTTAAGAGTTTATTTATTGAGTTGTAAATTTGATTAAGACATATATTTTTTCAGATTTTATTTGTAGGGACTAAATGTACAATATTGAAATTGTAAAAGGATTTTTGAGGCCAAATCTTCACCAAAAATATATATATATATATATATATATAGATAGTATTTAATTGGATTATTCATATTAATTGTTCAGGAGATTACTAAAAGAATGATGATCAAATTATGCATTAAACCAAAAAATTCAGTTAGTGTTAATCTGTTGCAAGGGAGCTAATTTTGAGATGACATTATAACAATACAAGGAATTGTATTATAAGATGATCACTCTGATTATAAAATATAAATTGATTGGTAAGTGGTAACCAAACCTTTGATCCCAATTGTGAAATACAGATTAGATTATAATAAATTAATAACCATTGTTAAAGACATTACAGACACAATACAATAATTCCATATAGTCATATCTAGAGGGTTACCAAAAGTCATTAATGTTTTTTTATTACCAAAAAGCTAATTAAAGGCAATCGTCAACGTACTACTATCCTAACCACTTAATGTTTGGCTTTGTTGTGTTCCTGGAGAGCCTTCGCTGAGCCGAAATTCCTGCCACAAAAACATCCAACAACAAGCAAATTTTTTATTATTATCAAATACTATAATTAAAGACATCTAAACATTAAGAGAGAGAGTTACTTGTTGCATGCAAGGCCGGACAAATTTCTAGTCGGTAAAACTTTCTCTGTTTTTGCTTTTTTTGCAGGCACCACGTCATCGGTCTCAGATGCTCTCTTATTGCATGTAGGTGTCTCTGTAGGTGTCTTCACATAGCCGTCCAAATCAGGAATCTTGTAGCCCATGAAT